GTGGAAATCGAGTACGGGCAAAAGTAGGGTTTCAGTGAATGGATCAAGAGAAGGAGACTGATCGTGGCGGAGGGAGAGGAAGAGTGTTTGAGAAAAGAGAGAGGGGCAGAGACAATGGAGTATGAGAGTAGGGTTCCTGTGAATTGATGGTTTTTGTGTTCTTTGAACTCCTTTCTTTCCTTGAAAAAAGGGTGACGGCCTTAAGATACCGTCTTTGAACTGACCGGCCCCAGGTAAATTCAGAGGTATTTGTACTCAACTGATTGCATCGGAAATCGAACTCACGTCTGTTTTTCTACACTTGATACAGGTGATAGGTGTGACAACAAAGCTAGGCCAGTTGGTGCGGGTGTTGTGTTCTTATGACCTTTTTCATGTCTTTTTGGTGCCATGTGCAGGCTCGTCCTCAGTTGATGTTACGTACGATCGATTCAATAATTGACCCACGGATGTGCGTCGATCCAGCAGATATGGAATCTATATGGGTATTGGCAGATTGTGCGATGCTTTGCTGCGAGCCATATGGACGCTTCCGTCCCGTGATTAGCAAAGTGGCGCGTGCCATTGAGATGTCACTTGAGGTTTTCAAAGAGCCCCAGCACTTGGGTAACATGCCCACTTCGCGGGGTTGATGTAGAGTTTGCCTTTTTGGCATTTATAATCCACCCCTCAGGAGAGTTGAAGAGAGAAGGGGGGATAGAGAGGAAAGAAAGAGCGGAAGGGAAGGTAGGAAGGAGAAAGAGGGTGCGCGAGGGAAGGTGGGGGAGGGAGGGAGGGAGGGAGGAATGTGGAAGACCTTTGGGATGACTGGGCGTGGCGCTGCAGCTGTAGAGTAGAGCATTCTCATTGTCGTTTGTTCTGTGCTTTTATGAAGTTTTATCATCTTTATTTAGGAAAGTGTTCTCGGGATTTTCATTGTTTGGAAGCCCCATGCGTATTATATTGTTGAATTTACCATCATGATAGCGAACATTCCGGCCTATGTGATTTGTCGCAAACATTCTAAGAAGGACACAGCTTCGAAAGAAAAATACTGCTCTGTGGCTGGGCAATGGGGCTGCTGCATTGATATATATATTCAGCCTCCTGATGAGTCGGTGAAACTCCGACGAAACAGTTTGTCACAGCCCCTCGTTTGTTGTCCTCTTCTCTCTCTCTACCGGGCAGTTCTATTTGTGACGATATATATACAATATATACCTCGCACGGCGGGTAGTTTGGCGGCTGCCTTGTGGACTGGTCAGGTTTCTCCCCTTGCATCCTTACCAGGGAGAAGGCCGATGGTGGTGGGAGAAGAGGCTATATATATTATGTGTTATGTGGAAGAATGCGCTGACTCAGAGCCTGTTGCACACTCTGTTGCTTGGAGCTGATAGCTGGCGAACTTGACACCGTGCAGAACAAGGGCAAGGACTGTTTCATTTTCTGGCATCTTCCAACAGGCGGTTCTGCTGAAAGTGCGTTACCTCCCAGAGTATTCTTCATTTCGGTCCTGGGGAGACAGGCAGGGTGGGTTGTATTGCATCCAGAGAGGAAGCAGCCTCTAGAGTCCAGAGGAGGAGCAGCTGGAGAGGGCAAGTGGTCCCTGAGCAGTGAGAGAGAGAGGAGAGGAGGTGAGAAAGGACAGCGAGGGCAATTGGATATAGTTTACCCTTGAATCAGGGTACGTAATAGTTTTTCCCACTTTGTTTATTGTTTACTATGTCCTTTGTTTCTATGCTTCTTTCTCTTCTTCAGGGACAAGCAGCCATGTGCTCTTCTGTTGTCCATTTGTTGTTGTTGCTGTCATCACTAGGTAACACCATAAGCTCTTGAAGAGAAGTGATCCCGGAGCAGGAGCGGATGAGAGAATAAGCTAAAGCTATTGTTGTATAGAGAAAGTTGGAGAGCAGTAGTCAAAGGGATTGTTCTTATTGAGTTATTTCAACTTATTTGAGTAGCATGTAGTGGGCTCTTCTACTACACTTTCACCTTAATTTAATGGTCCTTTCAGGTAAATGGCCGCAACTTCGGCCTTGATTAATTAGCTACTTCGTCATCGTCGTTGTATTCCGCCTCCTCCTCCCCCTCCTCCTCCTCCTCCTCCTATGCTGCTGCTGATTGCTTGGCCATCTTCTCCTTGTATTCTTTCCTTACGTCCCTCCGTCCCTCTCTCTCACACACATGTGCATAAAATTGCCATAAATGGGTGGAGTGGCAGGAGTGCAGCTGCGTGCACGTATCTGCACATTGATTTCCTTCACTGTGTCTTGATTGACATTGGCAGGTGCTTCATAGAGGTGGTGGTGTTTCTAAACGTTAGGTCCTTGTTTAGCTTATTTGTTTTTCCTTCTCTTCTTTAACTATTCGTTTTCCTTTGCATGTCAAATTTTATAGCCCGTAAAGTTGCGTAAACGTATCTTCACGTAATTACTTAGTGCATTACCTTGCACTCATGTGAGTCCAGCATCCATATGGCTGTCTTGATTCTTCTCTTATCTATGGCAATTTATGCTGGGTTGTGCACCATAATGGTTGGTGTTCTAATTCATGTTACTATCTAGCCAGTGCACGTGATGGTCAGAACCCCCCCCCCCCCCCCCCCCCCCCCC